ACAAATATTATTTATAATTGTAAATTGTTTTAAAGTTAAAAAAAAAAAAAAAAAAAGAAAAAAACAATAATATATTGAATATACAATTTGATTTGAAAATGTCGTGGAAAAAATCGATTGTAGTACGTTCAGTATTATTAAATCAAACAATGCAACAAGTTTGATGATAAAAGGTAAGATCGATTATTTCTCGTACATTCTAGATCGAAGAATGTAAGCCATGATAGCATATAAGTAGCGATTGTTCAATCTGATTGAACTATCGTAATATTGAAAATTATGTGGAACTTGATTATTATTAAAAATCGAATATTCATTTAAAAGATATTGATAAAAGAGAGATAAAGAGAAAATATAAAAAACAAAAAAAACAAAAAAGATCAGTAGAAATAATTAGTAGATAATGCTCGTTTTATCAAAATTATATTAGTTAGATCTCTAGTGATAAAAAAAAAGAAAGATAGAAGATATTTTCAAATCAGAGGACGAAAGTCAAATTACTAAATGATTTTGGATATGTCTACTGGTAATACTGGATTGACCGGTTATGTTAAAGTAACTACGTATGATTATCTTTCGTTCGAATAAAAAGCCACTTTCAATATTAATTTTCACTTATCTTCCAACTATTTTCTTTGATTAAAGGTGTAATTGAATCTTATTGAATCATTAATTAAAATGAGAAATGATGTAAATGTTTATAGGTCGTATATATATATATATATATATATATATTAATTATATATAATCTAACTTGTTGTCGGGTTACGATAAAAATATCTTTCAGACAGAGATTGCTTCTTCCTTTACGTAGAATATTTCGTCATTAGACAAAAAAAATATAGATTTTTTGAAATTGAATTTGAAATAATTTTGATTTCATTACGCTAAATAAATAAATAATAAATGTTTCATATAGAATAAAATAATATATGTAATAAAAGATAATATTCTTTTCTCGAAATTGATTAAATTTTGATTGAACGAATTTCCCCACTCCCCCCAAAAAAATACTGTTTTGCAAATAAAAATGTGTAGTACTATATTTTTCCATTATACGGTATTATGTCATAATATAGTATTATACTGGATATATTAAAATTTTAAATAGATATATTAAATTCTTATTAATATATATTAAATTTATTATTATTATTATTATTATATATAATCTTAATATATATATAAATTACGTGTCACGTAATTTACGTTGTTTGTCCGCAATGGACTCCTAAACTACTGAACCAATTTTAATCAAATTTTGTACACTCTGTGCAGTTTTATCCAACTTGAAAGATAGGATAGTTTATATCTCAATTTATAATCGCAATATTATTTTATTAATCGCGAATTATTTGTTTATTAACAAAGAGTCACGATTATCTCTGTTAGTTCGATAAGATTCTAACAGATGGCGGTATAAGGTAATTCGTTCATTTAAAGACGTATGTATCGGACTGATTGTAAGCCACAGCAACGCGTGGCGGGGCACCCCTAGTATTTATTATTTTATTTATATATATATATATTACATTATATTAATTATTATTATATTAAATTCGAATTAAATTACATTAAATTAGATATATTAAAAAAAGGAAACATTTAAAGAAACATTATATAAAGTTAGAAATCATTTTGTACAAATTAAACAAATAATAATAATAATAATAATAATATTATAGTGTGTGACTTAAGTTAATAAGTACTGTTCTCATTAGGACGAATAAGGACGAATAGAAAATGAGCAAATAGTTGTAAAGAAATAGATTTCGATTAAAATATTATCGTCGACACGAACGTTGCTATTTTTATGTTAGGATCGTGAGGAATGAGGCTATGCCATGCACCACAGTCTTTACATTCACCTGTGTATCATAATATCGAAGGGACATTTTAAAAGTCTATATATCCTATAGGTTTATTCGCTTCATCGATCTTCTTTCTTCCTTGTCTCTTCCTCGCACTTATTCTTGTTATACCATTAAAATTGGTTACTTCGAAACGTTACGTATAAACTTACTTTATATTACTTGTCACGTTACTTTTCAACTCAATAAATTGATTATTGTAAATAATTCTTAAGTGACATGTCATAAATTCACATTAGTTTTAATTCTGCGTAAAACATTCCTATATCCTGAATATATATATATATATATATATAATATCTTTAATATTAAAATAAATCAACTAAGATGACGTAAATACATAAATAGATTAATAATTGTTTAAAGGGTTAATTTGTCACCCGATACGTCCAAGTAATATGATACGTTATACGATATACACCATACTATATACACGTTACTTACGATATATACGTTACTTCAGTTCAGTTCATAATTTTCATAATTCATTTAGTAACTAACTTGGACAATGTCATTGAATTAGAAACTATGTACGTAGAACGTGTAACAAGAAACTGATCAAACATTAGTTATCAAAATATGAAGAGAAGCAGTTATAAATTCACGGTAGTATTGTATGTTAAATTCATTATGTATGTTTGTTGTTATTTGACATTTTAAATAGAAAAAGCTTAAAATGACGTAAATACGTATATGTTTGTTACTATTTAAAGGATTAATTCATTATCAAGTATATGCTAGCATATAGAATATATGTAATAAACATGAGTAATACGAATGTAACGTTATGTTAATTTATGCAAATTTTGTAGTAATTCATCTCTAGTATAAGTAGCTTTAGTTAAAGTTGAGTGAGCTTCGTGCCTTGGCTATGTAAATTTGTCGAAAGAAATGACCATGTAACTTGCATAGAAATTTCCGTTCTTTTTTTTTTCTTTTTTCTTTTTTCTTTTTTCTTTCTTTCTCTCTTTCTCCTTCGTTTTAATCGAATCATTTGTAAAGCACTTATTTTGGATCAATTAATCACGTGGAAACATATATGTACGTTTTATTAACTTTCATAAACGATGATTTATTATTTGACGCTCATTCGATAACGTTTTAAATGTTTGTTTCTTTTTTTTTTTCTTTTCTTTTCTTTCGTCCTAAAAACAAAGTGAACAATTATTAATAAAATGATAGAAGTGAAATAAATTCATTTTATACCATTGTACAATGAAAAGTATTAAACTTTGATAAAACGAAACAATGAAATAAGGACACGATAATAAAAAAAAAAAAAAAAATAAGACATAACCGTGTCCTGTGTTAGTTTTACATTCTTTTTACCACAATAAAAGTATAACGAAACGATGAGTGTGATTAAATGTTAGTTAATTTTAGAAAAAAAAAAAAAAAAAAACAAGTATTCCATTATGGGAGGAAATATTATAGAATAGCGTGGGAAAATGTAAAGGTTGATATTTATCATTTTTCTTCGTAGCGTTAAATCAAAATAAACATTTCTACGATAAAAAAAAAAAAAAAATTGTATTGAAGTTAATCGATAGACTTATATGTTTATAAAATGCCTTTCTTATTCACTTGAATTTTTTTTATTAACATTCTGTCGAATTTTTCTTTTCTTTTTTTTATTCCGTTGCATCAGAGTTGCGTAAAAAAAAATCTTACTGTTATATAAACGTCGATATTTCGAACGAAGTCATGACCCTGTTAACTTCGAACTAAATCATTTCGGATAATATTCAATTGAGAAATTTTATATTAAATATAAAAATAATATTAATACGTTCACGCCGGCGCGTACCACCGGTGGCCCGCACTAGACTGTCCCATCGGGCGGCTTGTACCACCGGTGATCCGCGCTTGACTGTCCCATCTGGCGGCGCGTACCACCGGTGATCCACCTTGGTCCAGGTTTGAATAAGCAAAAATCACGCGCCGCCAGATGAAACGCATCTTAGATTCGAGTGCCGCCCCACAGCGCAGACACTGAAAATCGGCGCCGGTGTCAACGTGTTAAAGATGTTGTACTTTAATTATACCTGCTATTAGAAAATGATGAATTTTTTTTTTATGTTATATTTGTGTATTCGCGTGAATATTATTCTTCTATGGCTTGGTTATTCGAATAATAATCAAATATATAATATATAAATAACGAATTTACGATTAATTTAATTGAAAGATCAATATGAAAAAACTTTGATATCTGTGAATTAGAATTATATAATATAATGTTCTTATATGTATATGTAATTCGATCGAAAGCGATTCATTTTTTCTACTTTTTTTTTTTTTTTTACATTGAAAGGTGTGACTTTATGTGTTAGTCAAAAGGTCAGATCGATCAATGCCATCGTAATCTCATGCGATCGAATCGTATTAGAAGCTTAGGAAATAGAAGAAACCGATAAAGGTTGTTTCTAAAGGAAGGTTGTCACTCTAACTGTACTGTAACTTGTTACTGTTTGGTCAGAGAGTGAAAAAAGTTGTCTAACAGTAAAAATCAAATAATAAATATAATATGAATTTAATTTACTTGCTGTATATAAAAAATAAGTGTGGAATATTTAACGAAATTGTTTCTTATCCTTATCTCAATACTTTGATAAGTTGTTCCTATAAGATATTCCTTCTTTGCCTAATAATAAGTATGGAAAATTACCGAATATATATATATATATATACATATGTTCTACTAGAATACTGTAAAAGAGACAAAATAAAATGAAAATGATAATAAAACATGAAAAGAGAAAAACTAATAACAAACTACGATAAAAGCGCGTCACATTTACAACGTAGTCGTGGCAATTTTGTAATGCATAGTTTCGTTTAACCGGCACGTTAATTATGGACGACAAAACGTGTTGTTACGTCATTGCAATCATTTCTCATTGTGTGCATCATCATAGAATGATTAGACAAAATCGCAAGCAACTTTAATTCATTGTCTCTTTATCAACCACCTCTCTTTTATTTTTATATCTTGATCTTTTTATTTTTCACTGTCATTCAAGTTATTATCTCGATTGATATAAATGCGCTCATATAATCATTATGTATTCTTTAATGATAAACTATGTTGTGCAAAGAAAATACTAACGTAGTATTATTACGTTTCAGATTATCATTTAGACCGCAATACTGAATATTCATTTTTACGGCCAACTCACTTGTACCGAAAGAAAGAATGCAAAATAATTGCGATGACGATGATAACGACGTCGTCTACAAGGACACAGTCATCGTAGGTAAGGCTGTAGAAAAAAAAAAAATGTTTAGCTATGAAAAATGATTGATTTCATCGATCGATGTTTTTCATTAGACATTAGGGATTGGTAAATTACATTGACTATACTTCGTAGGAAATAAACAAAAATCGGTAAGACTAGTGACAATATTTAATATAAAAATGAACGATTGTATCGTCTCTATAGGAGTTTTTTTAAAATAAATAATTACATATAATTCTAAGTAAAATTAAGATTATATTTCGTAGGAAATGGACCGAGCGGTATTTCTTTGTCATACATGCTCGCTGGTAATTGGCCTTATTATACCGGCGAGCCTCATCCCTTCAATGAAATGCTGACGGCGCGTCTTCACTACACAACGAGACCGTTTACTAACGACGATGATGTTCTTGAAAAAAGTGATAAGACGACGCAAAATAATTTAGATGAGGACACGTGTTCTCGTCGGCAAAGTAACGTTGCGAATGATAGTGTAATACGAGGTAGAGACTTAGCGAACAGTTCACGATGGAAATTGGAAACGTTGTCGTCCGGTCTCGAGGGCAGGAGCGGTGGTCGACCTTTGTCTTTACTGATGGACCAATTGCATAACCCATGCGTTGATGCAGGTCTCGATGTGCCTTCACTTTTGGATTGGAAATCTAAAGAACAACATCCGGAACACAAGATTATTGATCATGTAGTTCTTGGTAAAGGACAACCTGGTGGAGCTTGGCAGGTATTTGAAAAAGTATTCATTCAATTAGATTAGTTTATATTGAAAATATTTCGTTACAATTATTGAACGATTTTTAAGGAATGATTGATTTTGTTTTTTTTTTCAGTCTATGGATCCAAATGTGTTAACGATCAGTTTGAGTCGATGGATGTCATTACCTGGTTTAGATTTAAGACAATGGGAAAAATTGGTAGAGGCTGAACAAGTACAAAAATCAACATTGGCGATTGGTGATCCTAGTTCTCACTCACCAAGAGAAAAAATAAATGCATGTAAACCTGCCAGTCGTGTACCAGTAGGTACTGTTGCTACTTATTACAAAGATTACGTTACCAAACAAGGATTGGACAAATATTTTCGATGCGGGACCATTGTAACTTCGGTACGACCGATCGATTCCATTGATGTCAATGAAGATTTTAGATGGATCGTTGAAGGATATGAAAATAAAACTGGTAAACGTTTTGAGTATAGATGTCGAAGGGTAGTTCTTGCCACTGGTACTACAGATCTATCCAATCATTTGGGAATACCTGGAGAAAGATCGCAATCCTCATGGGTGATTCATAATCTTAATGATCTAGAATCACGTTTAGATCAATTTGTAAACATATATGGTAGGTGATTGTTTTCGTTCAATTTACTCAGTTTTTTCATTTTTTATTTATTTGCCTATATCTTTATCGCATTTGATCGTTTTATCGTAGGTGAGGCTGCATTTGACGGATTATTGGATCCTGTACTAGTGATAGGTGCTGGATTGAGTGCAGCCGATGCTATTATGGCTACAAGATTTCGAGGAATTCCAGTGTTACATGTATTTCGGGATGCATCCAACGATTGGAATAAGGAATCGAACGATAAAATACAAACAAATAATTTGGATAAATTACAGTGGCTTCCAAGTTCTATTTATCCGGAATATCACAAAGTTTATGAGATGATGGCAGACGGTGGTACTAATTATCCTCTTTACAAATCATTATCAGGATATACTCTTGTTGATCTTAATATCAATAATGATGATCGTAATAGTAATCAATGTAATAAGCATACAGTCACACTTTGTGCTCCGAATGGACAATTACAAAAATTCCGAGTTTCTATAGTCGCGATACTTATAGGTAAGTTATATTTTTATATTGATTATATATTATTTATATGTAGTAGATAAAAAGTAGTAATGTATATTTGAATAAACGAACATATATACGAACGGTAAGATATCTATAAATTATATTTGTGATCTTCGTTATTAACAAAGTTATGATATATATATWTTTTTTTTATTATAGGTTACAAACCAGATTTATCGTATCTAGAAAACAACGGTACAGGATTTGGAAAAATACCCGATAAACCCGTCGATTGTAAATCAAATCCGATCGATATCGACGATATTACATATGAAGTTTTGCAAGCACCTAAAAAGGGACTTTATGCTTTGGGACCTTTAGTGGGTGATAATTTTGTTCGTTTTATTCTAGGTGGTGCATTCGGTATTCTTGCACATATTCTAAGTCTTTCTACGTGAGATACAAATTTCATATCTCTTTTCTTTTCAATTTTTCGTCATCACCTTGACGGAATGTATTTACTTAATTTTTTGCTAAAATTCTATCACTGTTTTTTTTTTTGTTTTTTTTTTTTTTTACCGAATAATTGCATTTAAATCCCTCAAAAGTTTGTATATATATTTGAAAAATTTATTTTTATATTTAGACTATATGATGTGTAAGAGCTTTACGAACATTTGCTAATTTTAAGATATCCTATAAATAATATTATTCATAATGACTACAAAAAAAAAAAACAGGAACATAAATACCATTGCAATATTAACATTTTTGTACGAAGTAATGTATATAACATATGCGTACGTATTTTGCACTTTATACGTGAACAAAATATATGTACATAAAGATTGAAACATAGATCTCTCCATTAGTAGTTTTTGTTTGAAAGTTCTTGATCAAATGTAACATATTACAAAAAGAGATAAATAACATATTTATACGAAATCATAGATATTGTGCATAGAAATAATTTCTAGATGTGAAATGCACTTGAAGTATATACTTAAAAAACACACTTGTTGTTGTATATAGTAATGTAGTATACATACAATTATATGCACTGTAATTATGTACATCAATTTTGTATACTAATTGTATACATACAGTATTGGTGTATAAATGTAGATAACATTTTACAAGTAAATAAGGTTTCATGCCGAGATAATAATAATAATAATAATAATAATCATCATGTGAATACTCTTGCGAATTTTGTACCAGTAGTTTACTTTTTTGGTCAGACAATCTATATTCCCTTTTTGGGTCAACATTTTTTTGTCGTGCTATCCTATGTCCTTTATAATGAGGCGTACTACAATATATATATATATATATATATATATATTCGTATATATTATATATTTAAAATTAGCAAAACAATCTTAATTTGAATTTGGTATAATAAGGAATATTATTTTTGGTCATTTTATGATTTAGATTACCGTATTTGATTTTTTTTTTTAATGAAATTTTAATTCCAATAAAGGACTATGAGAGAATAGTTCATTTATTCGTATTTAACAATGATAAATTATTTATACGGTAATTTGTAATGAAATATTTTTCGCCATTTATTGTAATTATAACAACAGATTTCTTTGTAATACATACAACATATAATTATTTCAGCATATATTTATATGAGAATATTTAGAATTTCAATTAAATTTGCTAAATATATATATATATATATAACAAAAATGTATATGAGTTTTCTGTAATGAATATTAGTAAAGTTCCTATTAAAAATATAACAATTTTAATATCACAAATCAAATTCACCGAGAGAAAATGAAATAAAAATGCATTTGATAATTGAACAGTGGACAAATACATGGTATTATTATTATTTCTTTTAAATATCTTTGATAAGAATACCTGTACAACACATGTCAAATGTACATAAAATATACATATAATAAATAAATAAATATTTATTATATTTTTTCATTGTATTCTGTGGAATGACCAGTAACATAATAAAATTATTTCAATGTTCAAGATAAAACTATATATATATATATGTATAAGATTGAATTCAATTCAATAAGAACATTATTTCTAGTTTTGTTATATTCTTCCGAAAAGTTCTGTCCGTTTCTCAATTAAGAGAAAATATGAAAAAAAAAAAAGAAACAAATATTTACTGAGCAATATTATTTGCAATGTTACTAATGATCTTTTTATTATTTATAGTAATGAAAAGAGGTAAGCCCTACATATGTTTCAAACGAACACGTTCATATGTATTGAAACTTGCAATAACATTAACGAACAGAACTTTCCGGTAGACCTAATATATATAAAATTGGTATTATTCTCAAATATTTCGGCCATTTATGTATTGAATGAAAATATATCATTATACTGTGGTAAAGATTAATATATTTTTTTTTTTTTTTTTGAAAGGCCATTGTAATAAGCATTATTATCGATATTCACAGTTAGGATTATTTTTCAGTAATTCATTATTTTGTAATAACTTGTTGTTATACATAGGTTTATATATTATGTTAAAAAATATTCTTTGAATTCTATGGGAGATACTTTTGTTTTTGTTTTTTTTATGATTATGTATCACTTTTTTTTTTTAACCATTTTTACACAGTTTTTTTTTTTTTTTACATATAAGCACTTAAATTGGAAAACATTTTAATAAATAACAATGAGGTTATTAAATACTAATGAAATTCTATATGTGTGCGTGAACACTGTAGAATTTATGTTTTAAATATAACAAATAGAAAAAGAAGTAAAATAATAGCGGATGCCAAAATAACTATACAATAAAGTTTTCTATTAGCTTTTTGATAGGAATCAGCCTTTTTTAATTGTTTGTAACCTTCGGATACTTGTACTTGTGTCTGTTCAATATTGTAATCAATCCGATCTAAAACAGTACCTTGGTCCTGTACCATACTTGCCAGATCCTGTTTGTATCAGAATAGAATGAATTAATTTTTAAAATACATTTGTGAAATACATATATTATAAATATACGACTTTAAAATATATATTTCACTTCACAAGATAAGTAGTTCTTTTGTCTTATCTATATGATAAGTATATTGATAAAGATTTATGATAAGACGTTGATTATTATATTCTATTTTAAAATCATGTATAATTTATTATAAAGGAATACCAGATAAGTATTAATATAATAATATTAATAATTATATCAATTTCTATTAGCATGTGTTTCTTATATATATATATATATATATATATATATAGTAATAATATTGAATATCCATATTATTTTATTTTAACGATAAAAATATTTGATATAAGTAATCGAGTACTCCATTTATAATATNATATATATATAGTAATAATATTGAATATCCATATTATTTTATTTTAACGATAAAAATATTTGATATAAGTAATCGAGTACTCCATTTATAATATTGTCATTTACCTTAAATATATATTTTAGATCTGAAATACTTTGAACTATATTTCCAATTTGTTGTTCTCTTTCTACAGCCATTTTTAACCTTTCCTCTGGATCTTCTAAATGTAAAAGAACAGATTCTTGTCGTTGTTCATCTTCTTCCCAATAATCAGTTTTAGAATCATTAGACTCCATTAACCAGGAAGCAGATGCCATATCTTCGCTAAAAAATTGATTACTCCTTTCTTCTCTAGATTTAATTTCTGAAATTAATGATTTAATAATTGCTATATTAAATTAATAATAATTATTATTATTATTATTATTATTATTTATAAAAATTTATAATAAATAATAGGATTGTTTTTTACATGTATAAAAATATCATACGCGTTAAATAATGATTTTGAGCAGATCTATAACGTATTCCTAATTCTTGCAAGGCAGAAGAAAGTGCCATTACTGCATTTACAGCGAGATGTTTTTGTGCAGATTTTGTTTCTTGTTTTGCCGCAGCTCTTATTGTTTGTACTTGACGATAGCCATTGGCAAATGCACGTCCTATCTCACGAGATAACTTTTCCATCTGCCTTTCTTCCTATAACAAGTATTTTCTATAATTTCATGGATATAAAATTAAATTGATAAGATCAATTTCATTCAATCTATTATTTAACAGCATATTTACAAAATCGAAGAACTAATATATAAATATATAATAAATTGAAATTATATATAGTCATTTAATGAACATATTAATTTTTATTATTTCAAATATCAAACGTTTTTGCATTGAAATTAAAAGAAATTCTTGAAATAGACTTAATCGCTTTGGCATGTGAACGACTTGATTGAAAAAGTAACTCACCTGTGACGTGTCATCTAGAGTTGGTCTAGTTAATTGTTTAGCATGCAATTCAATTAAACTATCTATCTTAATTCTTAATCTACTAAGAATATATTGTGTTTCTTCTAGTGCATCTGTCCAAACCGGTGGAGTCGAATCGCTCAAATTAATATTCGTTAATTCAACATTATCCGCATGTATAGAATCTAAATTAACTAAGGCTGTCCTATCCGATAAATTCTGAAATAATATATTAGTTATTATATAAAACATATTAAAAATATAATATTCTTAGATATAGGTTATGTACACAAATACCTGCTCGGCATAAATATGTTTGCTCTGGAGAGCATTATTTCTCATTAAAATAAAAGGTTCTGTTAAATTTCTCGTAGCCATAATTGTCTTATTTTCAAATTCCAACACTTATTTAATATGTACAAGTTGCACTAATTCATATTTTTTTCAGCCAACGAGGAAAACCCATTTCGTTGCGATCCAACAGTTGACTGTCATCATGGAACAGCTGATTCTGGTGACGTATTGATATTATACATATAGTATATTTCAAATATACTTCTCTGCACAAGTATACTTGTTTACTTTATAATAATTAGAACATTTTCGGAAAAGATAAATTAATATTATAACAATAAATATATTCACAATATATAAATACATATAGTCATAATAATTATTTTAACAAATTTTTGGTTACTTACAATTAATGATACATTTTTAAATTGTTTATAATATCCTGTGTTCATACAAATATATTTAACATAATTTATAATGTTCTATATATATCTATGTATTATAATGTATATAATACATAATAGATATGGAGAAAATTATTATACTTTTTAAAATATTTACACAAGCAAGATTATATTTAATAAAAGTTAAATCAATATATATATAACCTACTAAATAATATATTTATTGTTTGAAATTAATCATTTCAAATATTGTATATTTAATAATTGATATACTTTTGATTGATAAATAATATACAAATGATGTAGAATAATACTATATTTACAATAACATTATAATTACATTTTTAATTATATTTTAGTTTGGAATTACAAATAATGTACAATTATGTTATATCTACTCAAACATATAATTGTATTATTAATGATGTTTATATATATATGTATGTATAAGTCTAAAAGATCTCAAACATTAGAAAAAAATCATTTTTAACATAAAATATCTATATAGTATCTATAGCACAAAATGTTCAATTAGAATCATATTACAAACATAGCATGACTTCTATATATATATATATATGGGTAATATTATACTAATTTATTATTACATTTACTTTTAGATGAAGTATTTGTTTCTATTATCAATGGTCTTGTACCATATAAGTTTCCTATTATTACTTGTCGTTTAATTAATTCTAATGCCTCTTGACCTTTTTGAAAAAATTGTTCAATTTCTTTTTCATCTTGTAACGTTTTGTTCTGTTGAAACTCTTGTCTTATTTTGCGAAGGGCATACATCCTACATATAAAAAGAAATAAATTAAAATATTATCAATTGAAGAAAAATAACTTAAATGAAAATATATATATAAAGTTTAGAAAAATGTTAATTTTTAATATACAGGGTGTTCTAGTTTTGTTTATTTTTTTCCAACAAAATTTTTTTCCAGTTTATCGTTAGCAAAATTAGTAATGATTAAATGACCATTATTCTCAACGATGAATAAATTGAGTAGAACAATTCTTTGACTTGAAGAAAATTCAGACAAAAAATTAGTAATGCAATAAATTCTACTCTTCACAGATGTCAATTCTACATTGATAAATGATAACATTTTAGTAATTATAAGGAATTATAATTTGAATTGATTTGAATCAATAATCTATTCCTTTTATAATAATAATAAAAAAAAAAAAAAAACGGTTCGTTGTCATTTCTTATTTTGGGGTTATAGTTTTTTTTTTTTAATGAAACTTTAAAGTCCATGCTTATTAAACATTCTTTTCTTATTTTTTACTTATAAAATATCTTTGTAAAATTTAATAGAGAAGAAAGCTTAGCACTCTGTATATATTAATCAATATAATAAAAAATAAAATAACAAGTTAAATTATATGATTTCATACAAACATATATATATTTTATAAAAATAGTTGTAAAATTGTTCAGTAAAACATAATAATCATATTAACAATAATTAATAGTAGTATTTTCATTAGGTACAAGTTACTTGTTAACAAATCATTGATTTATTACAGAAAATTGATAAAAGTGATATTGAAAGATAATTTATACATCATGACATAACAATAATTAATTACCTAAAGTTATATGTATTCCATTTTTTACTTTCTCGTATTAAATTTCGATAAAGATTTAAAATTTGATTTCGAGTACAAGCCATCGTTTACAAATTTGTCCAAAACAAAAGGAAATATAGATGCGAACTCTTAATGATATTTGGGAAAAGATAAAATTCTAATATTACCGATTCGTTTTTGTATTATTTGTTGTCACCAACAGATGGTGCTTCGTACGAAATTATTGTGGCGATACGTGCCTAGTGTATCGACGCGGCACACTGGCGCCCTTCCTCCCTATGCGGGTACTAGACTAACTAAACCCAAGTTGAACGNATATGGCGTCCAAGAGTTTAGTTGTATCTTGTTAATAAATTTATATATTTTTGTTACTTTAATTGACGACTATCGCGTAAATCTCCAGATCAACCTTTTCCGTTAACCTTGTTCCCCACAATTATGTAGCGGTACAACCGATGGTCGCGCCATCTAAGTTACTAGAAGGCTAGGGAACCACGCTAGCAAGTGTGGTCACCAGACKAGTACAGTCTGTGCGTAGCCGTTGAGAAGTGTACAAGAAAGAAAAGCAAGTCGCATCCGTTAAATAAAAATCATAAAACAAAATTCAGTCTAATATTATCTTTACTATAGAGAAACCCTCTACAATTAAAGGCGCTCTCGATTAATTTGATTTAGGGACCCTATAGGAGGGACGCGCTATACACATTGCTAGACTGAAAATTTGGGGGGACAGCTTCCGTTGCATCGAAGCTGTTGCGTTGAATCATTCGCGCGCAATCACGTGACAGGAACTCGTGTAGTCACGTGATTGCGCGCGAATGATTCAAACATTTTAGTCTGTAAACAAACGATAAGTTATAGGATAGGTTTATACATTTATACTTGTAATTATTAAATAAGTAAATTAAACTTACACTTATAGAAAACTACTAAAAACAAAACAAAACAATTAAATATAAATATCACAATAAAAATTATAAGTATTCCAAACTTAAACTAACCACAGCCGTTAATACATACTAAAGAGAAACATGGCTGAGCTATGCAACGGAAGCTGTCCCCCCACATTTTCAGCCTAGCAATGTACATGGCGCGTCCCCCTCCTATAGGGTCCCTAATTTGACGTAGGGAACTAAAGAGCCGCATGGGGCTCGCGAGCCGCAGGTTGCCGACCGCTGGGATAGTGGAATCTTTAGGACGCACATCCTTCCTGGGTCTTCAGAAGCGGTTACCTCCTCGTGGTTAGACCTGGGCAATGGATATTACTTTCCATGTAATGTTTATCATATTTTGATATGATATACATTCCATGGCAAGTAAAATCTAGCTAAAGACCGCTTACCATGAACATTATAATTGTAATTAGTTTCTTTAAATATTCCAATGATCATATTTTGATTCCTTTTCTTTATTCCATTTTATCCATTTCATTTTAAGAAACTAATTACCTTATAAGGTTTTTTAATAACTTTTATATTTTTACACGTACCATATTAAATAATAAAGAATTGTTAAAATGAAATTTTCATTTTATTTTGTTTTGGAGATGTTTAAATTGTAATAATTGTTAATCCATTGGTTTTTAAATAATCTTAATAAATTTACAATACTTTTTTATTTCCAGGCAAATAGATGTAACAATCGATAAAAAGATTTAAACTAGATGCATTCATTACATCCTTACGTTAACAATTACTTGTTGTTCGTATATATTGAAATATTATTTTAATTATATTTTTTATAATTAAATATTATATACTAAAAGTATTTTTCATGTGTGCTGATTGTTTAGATATATTTGTTTTGTTATAAATTAATTATTTTCTTTGCACTTGTTCGTGTTAAAATTGCCTTCATCATTTTATTACATGTATGATGATCGCTTTGAAATAAGTTTTAAGTATACACAGCAACCATAGAAAAAAGTACAAGAAAAAAATCTATTGTATAAGTAAAAAATACTTATGTATTGTCTCTTATTGTCATTAGAAACAATTAAGTAATAAAAAGTTATTATATAAGTTTTGTACTTTGATCGATACGCTCAGTATATAAACATAACATTTAAGTAATTTACTTTGATGGATCTGAAAAGTAGGAAAATATAGATTAATCAAAATCTGAAGAAGAAATAATAAAACTAACAACTTATTGTACATTTATCTATAGACTTACTAGGAGTAAGAAAATTGAAAACCGGATATCTCGGTGCAAATGGTAGATCAGCACCATATACGGAATTCGAATCATCTTCGTCTTTGATATTATCAGCCTTTTGCATACAYTCTTCATAAGAAGGAGGTGCTGTAATCAGCAAGATAATTTATTTATTAACAAGTCATCAACGTTTATGTCAAGATTTCAAGATTCTTTTGACTCACGCATGTGCCATCCTATTGGGTGATTTGATGATTGAGGCCCRTTGATATTCGGTTGAGGTATTGATGGTAGAATAATTTCAGGTTGGGGCATAGGTCCAGGTATAGGTTTTATGGAAGTAGACACTGATGGTTCTTGATCAATAATTGGAGCTGTTGGATTAGTATTATTTGTTGAAGCCCATGGTGTCCATGTTGAAGAAAATAGAGGTTGGGTTCCAATTAATATTGGATATTTTCTATCGACTTTTTTGTGCCTGTTAATTACATTAATTCAATTTATACATTGCATATCCACGTAACTATTGATAGGCATTTAATATAATATCATTATTCTTATTATCAGTCTTTGTTGTTATTAAGAGCGTAACGTGCTTCAAAATAAAAATAGAAATTGAATTTGTTTTATACTCACAAACCACTAACATGAACGTTCACCCGTAGATAATATTTCAAATCAATAATACCACAATATTCTAAATTAGATGGTGGTAGAGATGGGACATATAGTTTCAAATTCGATTGATGAATCGCTGTAATTGGTCCTTCGTCTTGATCCCTTTGTATTACGATTAAATCCCTTTTCGTTGAGCCGTGTGCATGAAAGGTAAGTTCCTACAAATCTGGTTGTTCATTATAGCTGCAGAATTTTAAGTATATTTATGTTCAATTTGTACAAAATGATACGAAAATAATTACTTCTTCTATTTTTGCGGAAATTTTCGTTACATGAACTTTTTCTGATTTTAAATTGGAGAATACTTCTGTCATTATGTATTGTCCCGGAACGTACCCTGTACTTGGAATTCTTATTCTAACGCGTATCAAACCTCTGTTGAAGCAAAGACAATAAAAATTTTTTGATGTCTCATCGTCTATTCCTACCTGAAACCGAAATAACATTTATTAATATTTGATTTTAGAAATTGTTTTTTTTGTTTGTTATTTCCTTTTGTTTAGGAAAAAAGGATTGCTTACGCATTGATGCGAAATAGGGTTCAAATCAAGCCCTGTTACGACTGTAAATGCAGATTTAGTCCACCAATCGAAGTTCCATGGGATATCGACGATTGCTTTTGCCGTATAACGAATATATCCTACTTTATGTTCGAAACTACACGGTATGTTTGTTGGTAATTGAAAAGAAAAATAATATACACTTTCTCCTACCGGAAGTTCCACCTCCTCTACATTTTAAATAAGTTATTAATTGATTTTAATGTTATGTTTTTTCAATCGGAAAAATTTTATATTCGATTACTCATGCTTACCTGTTGATTTTCTTAACAGAGACAATTCAATACTGAAATATTTTTCTGTAGCGGTGTGATGAACAGTTCTTGAAACTGTTTTACCTCGTGAATCTCGTTCCGATCGTGTTGTCGTCCAATGAACTTTAGCTTCTCCTTTGAAATATATCTTTACATCTGAAATCGATTTGTTTTGTGAATATTGTTTGAACAAATTCTTATTTACTTTTTTTTCTTTTTTAATAGGTTTTTATCGAGAGATAAGATAGTTAATAAAGATTGTGTGTGTGTGTGTTTAGATTTTATATTATCCTTTTCATGAATATAATAATTTGAAAAATTCAATATATTAATTACTAAATATATTTAATAGTTTATGACTTTGTCATATTTTATTAGTACTTTCTTTTAGATCATTCAAAGGAATAACTAAAGTCAAGCAACGGGGGTATCGTTAGTAACATGAATAGGTGTTCCCTTTGGAAAACCAAAAACCACATTTTGTTGACTCTAGAAAGATTGTAAAAAAAATGCGGTCTTTTTAATTTTTAATATTATTATTAACTGACATTAGAACCTCAAAAGTTTCTTGTCACAAATATACAATCCCATCAGTATTCCTGTCCCTTAGTGCGACTCCTCCATTCGCGGTCGTCGTACCCTATTTTTTTAAGATCCTGAAATAATATTATCCTCCCATCTACGTCTCAGTCTGTCCAATGGTCTTTTCCCATTCGGTATACCGATCAGCATTTTATTTGTCATTCGATCCTCTCCCATGCGCGCAAAGTGACCTCCCCATCTTAATCGCCGTGATTTTACGACGTTAATGATGTTCGGTTTATTATACACACGGTGCAATTTAACGTTATGAAGTTTTTTCTATTCTCCCGATTTCTTATCACGTTTTGTACCGAAGATTTTTCAAAAGAACTTTATTTTTCGATTACCCCAAATTTCTTTTCGTCTCGTAATGTAAATGACCATGTCTCGCTGCCATAAAGGGCTACCGGTAAGGATGATAATTTTTTGCGCACACCATATGTTATGTTGACGCGAATCCGTTTCAAATTAACGTACAATTTTTAAGTTGCAATTATACGTGCGTTTTGTATGAAAAGTCTCACGACAATAAATTAATACGGTGTGAGTGGTTTTGTAGTATACTAAAGGCAGTTCTTTAGTCAACAATAAATTTATTAGTTAAGTCTTGGCAACTATGTTACAATTGTTCGATGTGGACTGTATAAATGTATGATGATTGACAAGACTATAATAGTCAGAATGTATTACAGACAAAAATGTATATCTAACGAACAGATGATATTTTGGACAGACAATTCTTACTTGATTTTACATGTTTTTAAAACCAAATTACCTATGAAATCTACCGGGCGCCGTATCAGCGTCGCTCGAGGTCAAAGGGTTCAATTTCAATCTTTCCATTGTTCGATTTATTTTCAAAATCTCATTACTAGAAAGTACATTATTACGTGGATAAAAATATATATTTGTAATTCAGAGAATATTATTTATCATTCTCTGATAATAATAGTTGATAAAATTTTCGACGTTAATATTTCATTTCCGGTTTGTTCTTTAATAATACACTTTAATGAATCAGTGAATAATATTGATTATCACTCTACACTTTTCTTTATCTTTGAATTGATTTTATGTAGTAGATAACGAATTCGAACGAAATTTTTATATATATATATATATAAATTTATTTATTATTTAAAACGCATTTATTCGTGAAAATATATTATGTTAATCGATAACAAAATTATTAGGTAGCACACATTAATCCTTCGTAATAGCATTTAAACATATTACTGTATAACATATGTTATAGTAAATTAATAATACATTTTTTATTAATTTATTGCAATTATTACTTTATATTGTTTATTCACTTTCATATTGTATAATTTAAAAGAAAAGTGTTCTGCGTATTCTCAGAATTCAACATTATGTATTAAGTTGAAAAATCGATGAATTAAAGGATCGCAAAATGTTGGCATTAATTTTTTTTTATAAATTGCATTTCCTGATCATTGTTTTTACTAATGAAAGTAACGTAAAAGTCACGCGAATAACGCGAATGCAAATATAATTAATTATGCATATATAAAAGTAGATCAAATCGTTAATATAATGTACATTATCTTATCATATATTATTGAACGACTTTGTCGATTATAATTTAGCCATATTGAGTTTAATTATTAAGACGACTTATTTGAAATATAATTAATAAATTAATTATTTAAAATATATTTAAAAGATTCTCAAAAATCGATTAATTAATCGATTTTTTTTTTTTATATTTCTTACCTCGAACACTTTTCGTTTGATCCAATACGATTGTTACAGAACCAGTTATATTTTCTCCTGGAATGTAAGTAGCACTAGGTCTATCAAATTTGACAATGAATATTCTCGGAGACATTTTTATTATTCACAATTATACAACGTTGGTTTAAAAAGTGAAGAAAGAAAAATCCTTTAAAATTTGTTGCATCGATTATCGAATGATGTAACAAAAAGTAGTTAGATTAATGTGACCATGTGATGAATATCATCTTTACACTAACATACTTCATTCACGCAATGATATTGTCAACTTGTTGGTTCCTTGTCTACTTATTCGATGTAAACATAGATTTGTTCAAAGTTGCACTGATGTTATTTGAACTTCTTCATATGTTGGATTTTACGCTTTTAGAAATTCTCCGTTACGTACATACGAGTGTACCGAGTACGAGTGTATGGACAAATTATGAACTACACAGTTGAGGCGAACAGTGCCGCCATCATGTGTCCTTGATCTTTTGATCGTTTGTTATACCGGTTACATCTAATTCAGGGGTAAATTTATAAATTACTGGATTTATGTTTAGAACAACGTTTTTTTTTTTTAATTTTTTTACTTTTGCAAATCAATGAAAATATAAGAAAATATTAGACGAGCAATAAGGACAGACATACAAACCAAAATATAAAGTATATTAATTTTTATAACATGTATACATTTAATAAAATTTTGAGGCTGATTTTTACAAATATTTTTACAATAATTCTTATTAAGGAAAACAATTTTCGGAAAAGTTCTGAAAACAAATTTCCAAACATTTTTGAACTTATTTCTTAAATAAGTATTAGTTGATTTTTTTTTTTTTTTTGAAGATACATTTGTTAATATAAAATAAATGGGGGGGGGGTACATAAATCTAATCCTCGTTAATTTAGAAGATAATAATTGCTCGTTATTGATAGATTACGTTATCAAATTATTATTTAAGAAATTAGAATTGATATATAAAAACATAATTTTATAGAATTAATGTCATACATGAATGAAATTTAATTTTTATTGTCAATTTTATATTTTCTTTTTTTCTTTTTTCATTTTTATATTATATAATATATTTTTTTTTTTATATATTTCAATAATACAAACCATTTAAGGTAACAGTAAATAAAAAGTGTCATTATCTATTAAGTCTTAGTAACATTTTCGCTTATTAAAATGACTAGTAATTCGTACAAATTTTAAAAATCTTAAAATTTAAATACACGTGTAAAAATCGGTTTTTAATTAATTTCTATATACGTACAAAACTTTTTTTTTTTTTTTTTTCAGACAAATAACTGTAAAAATTAATAAAGAAAATTTAAATCGATGCCTTCATTAATCCTTACGTCTAATTACTTGTTGTTCGTATATTAAAATATTCAAATAATTTCTAAGGGTAAAAATTATGGAAAGGAATCTTTAGATAGATGTAATTCATTCGTTTAAGTATTTTTCAGGTGTGCCGATTGTTTAGATAAAAAAGTCTTGTTAGAAATTAATTTTTTTCTCTGTACTCGTTCCTGTTAAAATTGCTTTCATGATTTGCATAGTCTTACTACACGTGTAATGATCACTTTGAAATAAGTTTTAGGTATACACAGCAACCATAGAAAAAAGTACAAGAAAAAAATCTATTGTATAAGTAAAAAATACTTATGTATTGTCATTAGAAACAATTAAGTAATAAAAAGTTATTATATAAGTTTTGTACTTTGATCGATACGCTCAGTAGATAAACGTAACATTTAAGTAATTTACTTTGATGAATCTGAAAAGTAGGAAAATATAAATTAATCAAAATCTGAAGAAGAAATAATAAAACTAACGACTTATTGTACATTTATCTATAGACTTACTAGGAGTAAGAAAATTGAAAACCGGATATCTTGGTGCAAATGGTAAATCAGCACCATATACGGAATTCGAATCATCTTCGTCTTTGATATTATCAGCCTTTTGCATACATTCTTCATAAGAAGGAGGTGCTGTAATCAGCA